GCTAATCTAGGAGGCCACGGGCACTCAGAGACGTCGGAGAACCGCCTGAGATGTGAGATATTTTCAGAAGATGTCCGGGGTGCCCCCTCAAGTGTCACATTCACATTCATGGTTGCCTTAGTGGTTAGATTATGTAGGGGTATTATCAGGAATTGAAGCTTATATACTCTCCTAGAATTCCTTAAAAGCATTGATCCTCACACAGATTGCAACAGCATTCCCCTTTTTTGCATTGCGAAATGCCAGCACAATTATTAAATATAATTCCCTACATTGCACAGGCTTTAACAGTTGATACTACTCATAATTCGCAATCCACATTTCCTTTTCCGAATGTTCATGATGGGTGTGCACTGGTTATTTAATTGCAAATGTACAGGCTTTTTCAGGTCAGCATCGGCTTTTATGAATTTATTGCTTGGAACGCTGAAAATCGTGGCTGAGTACTACCCAGGCAGGCTTTACAAGGCTTTCGTAATCGACCCACCTTCTCTCTTCTCTTGTTTGTGGAAGGTAAAAATTCAAAAAACTTGTAAAAGTCTAGAGTGCGGGTGTTTAACTTTAACCTGCTGGACCTGGAAGTAGTTGCAACTGTTCGACCAACTCGGTGTTCTGCCTTTCTAGTTACATGGGCCACCAAAGCTCAAGTCAAATCTGCAGCCCTTTACAAGTTGTCCACTAGTTTGTTTCCACACTGTATTTTTAAAAAAGTGTTATTAATTTTTTTTTCCTTAAATTAACTTTTTTTAATTATTTTAATGGATTGTTTTTAAAAATAATTTTTTAAAAATAAAAAAATATTATTAATATATTTCTATAAGTAAAAAATACTTTAAAAATTAATTGCAGTCATGCTTCCAAACTATAATTTATTTGCGTAGAAATAAAAAGATTGCAATCATATAGTTTTGTCTTTAAAATGGAGTAAGTTAGTTATCGTTGTTATAGTTAATTAGGAATTTGTAACTTTTACTTGCTTTATTTTGTGCCAAATGATATTAATGCAATGTGAATTTGAAAATAGGGACTTGGAATTAGGTGCAACGAGTTTTGTCTAAGAGCGACCCACTTTAATTTTCCACAAGTGTTGACTATGTAGTTTCATGGTTGCAGGGTGTCCGTCCATTTGTTGAGCTATCAACGGCCACGGTGGTGGTATCCTCACTAGACTTCGAAGAATCACTGGAGTTCAATGACTTCTCCTCCTACCCACGTGCCTCCTCCCTCCGATTTGATCCTTCCTCCATCAACTCAACGGCCAAGATTGGCTCATGCTCTTCATCCAGATTCTCCTTCACCGTGTCCCACCATTTTGACTCGCTCAAGCCTTGGCACTTATCTTTGACCGACACGTCGTCATCTAAAGTAGGACCAACCAGCCTCTCTCATCTAGGCCCTGCCCTAGTCTCTCCCCTCAACGCTAGGTCCTACTCTTTTGCATCACCAGTTGCCAGAACCCCACGTGGCAGCATCAACGGTTGCAGCTACATCAGGCCAACCAAGAAAAGTCTGTTCCCATCAACCCCTTTGCCACAGCGTGTCACTGAAGGTGACCCTATCAAGATCTCTCTCCCGCGGACCCCCCGCCCCTCGTTCCTCCAATCACCTGCCTTGTTTTTCAAGAGGGAGTGCCACGTTAGTAAGGCGGATAGGTCTCGAGAATCGTTCGTACCGTTTTTTAAGTTTTATAGAAGGCCGTACGATGAGATGATTTATAGGTCAAAGATGCGGCCCCCACTTGGTGGACTCATATCCATTGTCTCCCCTCACATCAGACGGCGCCACGTCTCAGTATCTCAACGTTTCTAACACCCAGAAGAAAGAAAAACAAGAAGAGAGAGTTCGCAGGCCTCCTCCTGCTGCTGCTGCTCTTGCATTTAACTACTGTCAAAATGTCAATGGCAAATGACACTAGTACAAATAATTTGATGAATTATTTTTGTCTAAGTTAATTATGGCGCATTGATTGACCCAAGTAAAAAGGAGAGACGACGTGCGAGGTGGGATATCAAATCCTGTGCACCAGCTCTAATCTCATCTGTGCCAGCAACTTCGATACATCGCAAAGTCTTGGGTTCTGGGATGGTTAGGCATTGGAAGGAGGCTGCGTGTTTGAAACGGTGAACATTTTTGCATTGGAAATCATATGTCACTAGATGGTGAAGTCTAGCAAGCGGAGGATATATATATTGTACCAAGAAAACCACGTAAGCGTTGAAAAAAATCTGTCAAGTGAAATTCAAAACTTATATATATAATATATATTTTTATTTTGGGAAGTTTTGTGGAGAATCAAGGGACTGTTTTTGGGTTGGACTTTGTTTAAATATTATAATTGTTAAAGAATTCCAAATTTTGAAAACTTTCAGCATGCATTCTTCTACTTGTAATTTTGTAATAGTTAGCCAGTTTGTATTATGGTCGGTTTCAACGATGGCTGAGGTGGTGGTAGGAATATGTGTCGTGCTTTGCTGCTTGAGAAGTCAAAATGGAGCTTCCGTTTCATGTAAACAGAATTTAACAGCGCGTGTATTGGGAATTGAACTTAAATTTGGCATATATATTATACTCATACATACATCTATATGTATATGTATATGTATATGTATGTATGTATTTTTTGGGATATTTAGTTTGTCATCTACTATATGTCGGTGAGGTATCAAGGGTTCTCTTTACTTAGAAGTGACGTTAGAGAGAGACTTGTAGTCTTTGTATTTGGACTCTAATTTCACTTCACTACTCCCCAATCTGGTCCTGTTCTTAAGCTTGAGATTAGGTTCAATGTGGACAAATTGGAGGCAGTGTTCAGAGGCAGTGTTGTATTTGGAGTTTATTCGTTGTCTGTTCCGGGATTTCAAAGTGTCCCTTTCGTTTGTTTTCTCAGGGTTTCACCGAGGCTTAGTGTGAAGGATAGACCAGGGATTTTAGCATCCTTACAACTCTGGTATATGTGGGATTTGTTTTCTGACTTTATGATGCATTTACAAAGAAGACAAAACACAAAAGAATTTAGCACAATCATCAAGGGGACGGCATTTATTTCTCAGATGGGAATTATTATGATCAATGTCTTGGTCGTATCCCACGTGAGATTCGCCCAGTCATATGTAGCATTCCTTTGCCCCTTATCATCTCATTATTTCCTTCCTTTTTTTCTGTGTGCGCCGGGAGTGGGAGGTGTCTTTCCGCCATGTATATTACTTCTTGGTGCGTTTGGTGCCCTAGAACTATAAGGTCAATGACATTTTTCCACTTCCGTCCTTTTCTTGTTTAAAGAAAGAAAGTATTTAGTAATTGCTAAGATCAAAGGAATGCTAATAACAATGTCATCTCGAAGGGCTATTGGGTTCCATTCGTAGTGGGTTGTTTGCGGTGATAGAAAAGTCACCGGTGACTGCCGCGGCCTATGCCCCATATATCAATGAAATGAGTGGCAGGCCTAGGAGATCAGAGTGCATGGCTAAATCTAGCCCAGTAAGAGAAAACTAAAGCCCATCCGTTAGGACTGAAATAAGGCATAGTCTAATGAAATATGTTGCGGCTCCGGAGACGAGAACATAGCAAGGGTAGACGTTGACCAATAAAGGCAATCCTATACTGTACAAATAACGGTGAGGTTATTCATAATTTTGCCCACCCCATTTGCAAATTGACCAGCTAAGGGAGGAGAGGAGCTCCCTCGAGCTTTATCCCAACCGCCGTCTTCCTTACTGAATTGTAGAGGTTACCAATTGCTTCTTGTACAATGGATTGAACATCACCGGGAATTGCATTATTGCCAAACACAAATATATCGGAACCGAACACCTAAGTGAACATAAGTATGTGGTCTCGAAACCATTTGTCAGCTGCCTCCTGGCTGGATGCTACATGGGCAATTGCCTCGTTTGGAACCCCAATAGTTACAGCCAAGTTGGTTCCACTGAGTGCTTTTAAAACCTCCATATTGGCATCACAACCCTGGCTAATGAAATTGCATAATTCATGTCCTTTGCGAGGAAATCGATTACTCGTTTCTGGGATGGGAGATTATCTTCATTTCTTCGATGAATAATCCAAGCATCAACACCTGAAAATTGTCCACATGAAGCAAAAAGGACATGTATGGTTACATGATTTGCTGCAGATAAATGTCACAGATCCAGAGGTTTTAAGTGCATGATTGATTTCTTAATTAGTCTGCTCTGGGATTGGGGGGGCTTACTCTCACCTAAGACCATGGAGATGTGAATTTCAACCTCTGTTAACATCTAGATATGTTGATTGCCTGGTAAACACACCGAAGCAAACAAATAAAGAGAATAGATTAAAAATTCAGGCTGGAATTAATCAAGAACTAGTAGTAATTAGCAATAATAAAACCTCAGCTGCTCTGAAACCCTAATTCTCAAACTCCTTTCCTCCCACTAATTTTTATACAGTATCTTTTGAAATAAACGAACATTTTTATTCAGGAAGTATTTAGAATATTGTGATATTATGCACTAAATTGTACTAATGTAAACATCGAAAACCTATTTTTTAAGGATCTTTTGTACTGAGAAACAAAATAAATCTAATAAATAAAGTCCTTACCTATTACTATTTTGATTTTCTAAGCACCTGCATCACTACCTTCTCACAGAATTTGGAATAGAGCAGAATATTGACAAGAATTTAGTCGTGATAAATCACGCCCAATTGCCGGCTCTGTAGGGCGTGAATAGCAACTCTATTGCATGCACCCCAGAACAACACATCAGTCTGTGCAACCAAATTATGGTTATAAAGCGTTGTGCATTCGCCGTTGTCCTTGTTCTCATCTATTAAAATTTCCACGTAAATTCAAATGAACATTTATGCTGGCCTTGTGCAAGGATGAACAAAGAGGCACCGCCACCCATTGAGAAAAGAAGATGAGAAATGCCTGCATAAACCGTGACTCGTATAGAAGCCTGCACAGTCAACGTGGAAGCCTCTCTACCGAACATGTAGCTTGAAATTTAAAAAGATTGAAATTGCGCATGAAAATAATATTAAATTAAAGTCACTATACAATTACATGTATTATTTCCTTGCAGCAAGTCACGTTTCCGTAAGAACTTCTCTTTCCGACTGACTCCAACTGGAGTCACCCTCGACTTTACATCTTCTTCTGCGCGGTAACTAGATCAAGAGTCGAACCATAAGTCCTGTTCAGGGCCTCAGCACACCAGCCATGCCCATCATCAACTGTAGGCATCCTGACTTCCATAAACGGTGCCATTGGCTGATCCGTCCCAGGCATCACCACTCCAGCAAAAACTCTTAGTGCATTGGAGGCATCGATGTCCATGCACACATTTATCTCTGGAATTCCCTTGGGTGCTGCCGGAATTCCCATGATCTTGAAATAGCCCAGAAGATGATTCTCTTCCACCTTTGTCCCCTCACCTTCATAGACGAGGATTAGAGCCTCGGTTTGATTATCATGGGTGGTTGTGAATATTAACTCTTTCCTTGCTGGCATTGTCGTATTTCTAGGTATGATTGGGACAAAGCTGTTTCCATCTGCTCTAATGCCAACGCCAAGGGGGATAGCTTGGATTGTTAACAGATCCAAACTTCCAAAAGGGTCACTGATTCCTGATGCAACTGCTCCCTCTAGCGCTGCCCCACATACTGCAGCTTCCAATGGATTTATCACTTTGTACAGTTCCTCCTTCTGGCATACACCCTTGACAACATTCCTTATATTTGGGATATATGAACACCCGCCTACAAGTATTACATCAGTCAAATCCTCCATGTCTACCTTTGAGTCACGCAAGCACTGTGTTAAGAGGCTTTCGCACTTCTCAAACACCTTCAGGTTCACTTCCTCAAATTCCTCCCTAGTGATCACCTTACATATTTTGGATCCATTTCTCAAATCAACATCCACCTGAACATTGCTCTGTGAAGAGAGCCTATGGATTGCATCTTCAGTTGCTACTCGAAGCAACCCCAATGATTTGATCTCGTTGATTCCATGGCTGAGGAAAAGGTTCTCTGAATTTGGTAAGAGATGCTGCATCATGTTTTGCAGTATGTCTTCTCCTCCAATGGCAGCTCCTGCTAAGGCCTTAATCTGTGAAACTCCTCCAGCAGTGGTAGTAACAGCTACATCACAGTACCCAGCCCCCATGTTAAATATAAGGGCATTCTTCTCACTTCCACTGCCCATATTCTCATGTACAGTCTGCTGCTGTGCATATAACAATGCCACAGCAGTCGGCTCGGGCATCAACCTGAGGACATGGAGGCCAGCCATGGCACAAGCACGCTCAATCCGTGTCAACTGGAACCTACTAAATGACACTGGAATGGTTAGAACGACATTTCTTATGGGCCTCTTCAACTGGACTTCAGCCATGGCTCTTAGTTCGACCAGAAATATTGCAAGGACTTCTTCAGGAGTGGTGGATCTCCAAGCATTGCTCACTAAAGCTGCAATAAATGGGCGAACACCAATATCCAAAGTTTGCACCAAAAATGGAAGCCTTTTGCTTGCATGAACCACAGGATCAGTATCCACTCTGCCAATTAAGCGTTTCATATTGAAAATTGCAGCTCCAGATAGTATTTCATATTCGTGAGAGAGCTGATTGCTCACTCCACCTGAAGGGACTTCATCCTTGAAGGTAACATATGATCGCATCAACTTTTGGTTTCTGGTGTTCTTTAGGAGCTCTACCTGGGAGCCATTCCAGACTGCAACACTGCACTGTGAAGTCCCAATGTCAATTCCAATGGCAGTTTCTGGAAAAGCTGATGAAGATTTCTCCTCCCCGGTGGTTTCACTGTCAGATGCCACTGTGTATTGTGGTTCTGCCATTCCAGTATTTCGACAAAGAAATAAGGGAGTTGCTCGTCAGGAACTGAAAACAGAGTAATAAACATCAGTTATAAAAACTACATAAAAAATCTATGCAATACAAAGATGCTAAGGAAAAATGCCAGAACTGCAACTGTGAATTAAGTTTTCTATACAAAATCAAGATGATATATGTTGTTTATGTCCTATTTTTGGAGCAATAGGTGAGTCAGTACACCTCTGATAATTTAAGTTAATAACATCACGTTCCCCACAGATTTACAAACTGGAAAAGATCAGGGTAACTTGAAAAGCACTATCTCCGTAATTCCAGTTCAAGTTACATAAACTGAGCGCAGTTGGGATCCAGAGACCCGAAAATTAAGAAAACAGTCTCACCAAACATGAAAATGTTCTACAATGGATCATTTTTTGTTTTTTGGAGAACCTTTAGGGACGCAAGAGTATGCTGAGCACTTGGTGCATTACTTCCACAAAGCAGACATCGTCATTTACACTGTACAAGAAAATGACACCGTACTCAGTCAAACAAAGTGTGTAGTACATACTACTATCCCTATAACTGATTTCTACCACCATATAAACCTAATGTACATTAATTCAAATGCCACACCGGGCATCCTCCATCTTCCTACACAGGGAATATAACCGACTATCCAAAAAGACATAAAGAATAAGGGCACACTTAATTTCTGATAAGTACAGTTGCAAACCTAAAAAATAATTGGGTGTTTCCTAGCAAATGGGTTCTTGAGAATAAATTCAAATTTGAGGCTGAAAACAATTAACTCAACTTCATCTAAAAATTGCAAAAAAATATAGTTCGCGCCGGTATTTCAACAAACACCTGCAAGACATTCTTCATCTGAACAAGTAAATCGACATGAAACGATGAAATATCCGAAACCAATCTATAAAATGACATAAAAGGAATTCCCGTATCACTTGATAGCTGAAACAGGCTTTGCAGAGGAAGCATAAGCATTCGATTGGTTTAAGAGAAGGAAATCTCTTATGAGAAGTCATGTTGGCAACAAACTAAAGCAAGCCAAAGCTAGTGATCATTTACTTCAAGGAAAATAAAATAAGAAGCAAAAATTAGTGCAAATTAAAAATAAATAATAAAAAAAAGATCATTAGCTAGAGAGATGCTCACCTGGCTAGTAATTCTTAATAGAAAATATTATATATATGCGCAAGAATATCACAAATAGAAATGAGAGGTTGTTTGCTATTGATAGTAGAGATCAGGGAGGGAAGGACTTGTAGTTAACAAGTAAAGAGGAACAGATAAAGAGACAAACAGCGTAGAAGGAACGAGAAGGAGACGATCTGGTTGATGAGATGAGAGCGCATGCAAAGGTGGTTAGGTGTCCCCAGATTTTCCCCGATGGACTGAGAGAGAGCTTTTGAAGAGCGGAAGCCTTTTTTTAATATACAAAACTTGTAGACGTTATTACCACTCCACCGCGTAATGTTTGATTGATGTTGTTCTGGATAATGTTAAAAAAAATTATTATAAATTATAAAAAAAATTTATATTAGTATATTAAAATATATTTTTCAAGTTAAATCCAATTCTAAAACACGTCTAAAAACAAAACATCTAATAACTTAAAATAACCTTGTCACTCATAATTATAATCTATCAATTTTTTTTTAATAATTTTGGTTTTAAGTTTTTGTTATTACTAGTTATTTTACTCTTACTTTGGTAATAATTTTTTTAATAAAAAAAATTTAAATATGTAAACTTTTCAGATATATTTTTAAAAAATATCTAATTACAAATTAAAAAATTTATCAATATATTTAACGTACTACGATAAAAATTATATAAGTTAACAAGATCTTAATTTAATTTTTAACATCACAAAAAAATAAAATAGTATTGAAATTCTATAATAAAATACTATTTTTCTAGTCTTTATATAATATATTTTTTAAAATGTAAATAAAAATAATTACAGAAACATTGAGATAAAAACAAAAGGAATAATATAAATATCTCAGCAATAAATATTTAAAGTGTAAAAAGTAAAAAACAATATTTTTTTTAAAAAGTGTTAAAAAAAAGAAAAACTAAAAAAATATTGCAAAAAATAAAAATAAGAAAAAACATTGTGATAAATAAGCCTAGTCCAAGATGATAAAAAATACTTAATATAAAAATATTTTTTATAAATAAAAAAACAAAAATTACAATTTTACTACTTCTACAATGCCGCTATAATGAAAACAAAATGACAAAATTTACAATTATACTATTTTTACATGAAAACATCATTTCTTTGTGGCACATGTATAGTAAAAAATATTGAATTATTATATAACAAAAGAAATAACTTTTTTGAGAATGGTGTTTTTTCAAATTTCAAATTTATTATTTTTTGTTTAAAATAATTGTTTTATATTTTTAAATGATTTTGAAGTGTTGATATTAGAAATAATTTTTTAAAAATAAAATTTTTTTAATACTTTTTAAATAAAAAATATTTTAAATTATTATTGTTTTCGTAATTTTAAATACACATATTTTATTATGTTGTTATCCTATAGACTTCTCAGCAACCTTGAAGAAAAAATCTTTTATTTCAGGATTTAATAGACATCTCAACAATTCCTTTTAGTTTGCTTTTAAAATAATAAGAAGAAGAAAGGCTAAAAACACATATATTTTATATATCTTATTTTATCTTCTAGATTCAGTTCAATGTTTTTACGTTGTAGTGTATTTTTTTAAATAATATATTTTAAATGATGTAACTTGTCAATAAAATATTGTTATCTTTAATTATCATAATTTATAGTCACTGTTATAAACCTTTGACAATAAAGTCATTATTACATTATAAAACAATAACAAAATATTAATAGTAGTTTATAGTTTATGATAATCTATACTTGAAAAGTTTAGTATCAAAATTTCATTGAGTAACTTATCCTTAACATTTTCAATATCTATCAATTCAACGTTGAGTCTATAAGGATAAAAAATTACGTTGACTTTGTTTTTTTCAGAAAATAAAACCATAAATACTTAGACATAATTTACTATTTTTCCTCTATATTCTCATTTTTATGAATACATAAAAGATCCATTTCAAAGAGTCGTTAAAAATTAATGGAATATTTTAAATACCATTTTGCAACGATAGAGAAAAATAAAATAAACATGTTTAATATCACCTATATTCATTTATTTTGTTTTCCTTTTTAAATCTTAAATGAAAGGTAAATTTTAATTTCTTCGGGTATAATTTTAAAAATAATACTTTTTACAAAGCATAACTTTTGTATTTTCAAATTTTTTCATTAAAAAATAAATAAATAATAAATAAATAAAAATTGTCAATAAAGAATGATTATTTAACATATTTGCATTCTTCTCTTTTGTAAATTTAAGAATATCTAAAAAACCCATTTCTTTTTTTTAAATGCTTTTGAATTTCTTTTTTCCGGTTTTCAATCTATTTTATTCTCAAATTTGCTAATAATTTTTAAAACTGTAGTTCTCAATTTTTTTAATATTTTTAATTTTTTTAAGTTTTTTTCTTTTTTTTTTCAAATTTTCGAACACAACATTCTATATTTTTTACATGTATCCTCATTTAACATAAAACTTTGACGGTATTATGATGGAAGGACCATGTTAAAAAACAAATTGGGTCGAGGGAGCTAATCAATTATAAAAATAGTAGCGGGATCACATGTAAATAATTAAAAGACGAAATATGTGTTCGTTTAAAACTTGTACGATGACGCATTTTTTTCCTTCTTATTTTTTATTACCTCACACATGACATGTTGAATCATAAAACGTTCTAACTTTATTGACATTGTATTTTAAAAATATTTTTTAAAAAAATAAAAAATTTATTTTATTTTAAATTAATATATTTTTAAATTATTTTGATGTATTAATATTAAAAATAATTTTTAAAAAATAAAAAAATATTATTAATATATTTTAAAATAAAAAATATTTTCATAGGCAATCAGAACTACACTCATATGTATATTTCTTTTTTAATTGATTTTGGTCAATTTTGTCCTGTCAAATGTTGAATTGTTGATACTTATCATGCCCAGTATGTATTAAGTATTGTGATGTAATGTTATTAATTTAAGTCAAACGGATTCCCAAACACGCAAATAAATTCATTTAACAATGCACTAAAATAGACAGGAAAGCAATGTAGCAATAAATACTATTCTACCCCCCATATTGTGGTCCTACGAGAGACACTTCACTCCTCTTCCAACGTCTCTCCAAACAAACTTATCCTTGAAGAGCGACCTGGGATTTATTCAAACAATTTAAGCAGACCATTTGTCATTTTGGGTTGTTTTGATATGAAAAAAATTAGTTTAAGGTTCGATTCATTAAAAAATAACTTGTGATTTCTTTTATAGAAAGAATTTGTTTATTTCCATAGAAGTATGTTAAAATGAAAAAAAAATTACAAGCAATTAATTCTTTAATTTATTTTATTAAGTTACTATAAAAAAAAAAACAGAGAGGGAATCGATAATATCCAAGCGGTAATACCAAAAAAAAAAAATGAAAAAACACCCTTAAAATAGAATACAAACTAGTTATTTATCCACATTATGATGTTAAATCTTTTTATTTTTTATAAGAAAAATTGTATATACATGTTTTTTAATGTATTTTTATAGTTTAAAATATCCAAGTTCAAATAAAAAAAATTATGCATGCATATAATAAAATAAACCGAGAATTATATGCATAAATAAATAAATAAATAAATATTAATGATATCTAAAAAAAACTTAAAAAATAAAAAAATAAATATAAATCAAGATAATTAATCTCAAAAGATAGGATATTTATTTGGTTGTATTTACTAAATTTATTAATTAAAATATTTTTTTATTTAAGTAAACAATAATAAATATAGAGACAGAAATTAAATTAATTAAATAAAATAAAAGGAGGGGGAAATCATGCAAAGCTACATATACAAGAAGTATTATTTTTAAAATAATTTTTTTTATTTTCAAAAATAAAGTTTATCCATACAAAAGATTAAAAAAATATAAAGATAAATAAAAAAACTCTTTAAATTTAAAATTTAAAATGCATAACTAAGAAAATAATTACCATATAAAATAAGCTCTCCGAAAGAAACAATAGGTATTGATTTAAATATAAATTAAAAATAGATAAAAGAACTAAAAAAACTATTAATTTAATATATACATATATATACATATATATAAGTAAAGGCCATGAAATGCTACGTCCGGCAAGCCAACCAAGTGTGTTTGTCCCATTTTATCTAGACCCACGAATTTGAACCTTTAATTATTATCTTTTTTACAACGGGAGCGGACAAGTCACCTACCCTGAATTTCTTTGGAAAGAAACATTCATATGACACGTCGCCTTTAGAGACAAACGCGTAAATAGTCTAATTTCCATAGATTCTGTGGATTGCAGTGGCTAAAAAAATAAAGTTTTTTTTTTTTATCTCAAAACTCATTCTTAGCACATTTTAACTTAAAAAAATTTATAAAAACTATATGAATCATCAGAAATTTATATATCATCTTAAAAAACTATTCAAAAAATTAAATCAAATCTAAATATCAATATAAACTCGGATCTATTTTTTCATAAACTTTAAAAATTAAAAAACATATAATATAAAAATCCTACATCAAATTAAACCCTTTGACATAAATATCATCTGATTTGGTGATTTAAATCAGTATCAATAATATTTTTTTATTGTTAAAATCTAGCGACATTTCTCTCTCATATCTCAACTAATGATTAAAAAATAATAAAAGATTAACTTTTATATCAAAATTAAATTAGAATAATATTGAGATATTTAAATTGAATAATTTGCGGGATTTTTCAAGTTCAAATACGATAGCGCATCTTTTTGTGAGGCTTATAACATGCAACCAGTATTTGATATCTTTTTTTTCATTTTGATATTTCTTTTTCCAATCTCACTTTTTTTAAAAAAATCAAAATTAATTGATTTTCGATCATGACTAAATCACCATAAAAAATGTTAGAAGACCAAATTAATTAAACATAAAAAATTATATTATCCATCCACGATAACATCTAAGATGATGAATAGTGAAGTCTTGCACATCAATACTTACTAAAAAAACATTTGCTTTTGTTTTTTTTTCCTTTGATTTTTTTTAAGTCCATGTTTTTTTTATTTTTTAATATTAAATTTATTTTTTAATGAGTTATCATATTCTCACAATACAAATCATGAATTTATCAAGTTAACTTAGTTGACTGATTTTTTTTATTTATTTAACTTTTTTTTTAATTTTATTTTTTAATATTGAGTCATCTAGGAATTAAGTTTCATAATTTATTTTATTTACTTTTTATTAAGTTATTTCGGTCTCATGAATCGAGAATAATACTTGACAGGTTTA